GGTAGCATCACCTCCCTAGATCTAGACACTATGCTCCTATTGATGCAGGCCAAAATCCCATTGGCTTTTTTCAATTAACATCTAAAGGAGGTTTAACAATCAGATGAGCTTTCAGAGATCACATTTATTTTTCCAGACTTCCAGACACATTTAGGCAGTTCGAGAATAGAAACATGGTGACTATCCAGCCCAGCTTACTGTTGACCTAAGCAGTTCGAAAACAGTGTCACATGTAAAGCCATGTCTGGAATGAGAGAGGGCAGCTTTACTTGAAGCACTCTTTGTATGACAGCCTCTGCCTGCTTCATCTTTTAGTAAGATGGCTTCTCTCTTTATAAGATGTTCCAGAAGCTGGGAGCGTGTGGTTCAGTACACCATATTATGAGGCCTTTCAGATAGGGCTAATGATTTTCTGTACGTTTTTAAAAAGCAGAATCAAAATGGAGAAAACTTACTCAAGGAAAACAACAAAACTACTCTAAGGAATAATTGCATATAAGTTGAACATTCACAAAAGTACCCAAGTCTTTGCTACAGGTAGCTATACTAGTTTCAGAACTAACATATATGAAGGAATCCTTCTCGCAAACTAGTCCATATGCATAGGAATCATGGAGCCAGGAATCTCAAAACTATTTATTTTAGCCACTTAACTGTAGCAATCAGGTTATTATTAATTTTTCCATTTAAAAGTATTTGCAGAGGACTGCTCAAGGTCTTTTCCTAACCATTGTCATCAAAACATCCTGAAATGTTTCTGTGTTCAAGTAAGTGTGCATAAGATAGATGGCAAGCAGCCATTATTATTCCTGGGAGGACACAGCAATAACAACTGTCTTAACATTTCTTGGTACCTATTCATTTAATATACTTCCAATTGGTAATTCCTGAGGAGGCCCAACAAGACATGAGCTTTCGTTGTTCAAATTGGACTACAATTTCCAACAACTGTATTCAGCTTAGCTAACTGTGAGGAATACTGGAAGCTGCAGACCAACTGTTCCTGGGGGTGAGGGTGGGCAACAATACCCTCACTTCTGCCCAAAAGAAACTAAGACTAAGGTCAAAATGATGTGAGCCCCAATGAAGCTCGGGTAGATTCCCTTCCATAACTTGGGGCCAGCCAGTCATTCCTTCCATGCTTTTATTTGCCCTCTGCTAGGCTGTGTTGACAGAGCTGGAAGTTTAAATACTGTTAGGGGGAAAAGACATGCAACAGGTGAATGAGACATTGCTTGCCTTTCAGATGAACTCTCTTCCAGCACAGAAGAGAGGAAATGTGACTTTTAAATGTCAAGCTAATCCTCCTCAGTCTCTGCCTCTACAAGACCCCACAGACTTACCGTTCAATGCGGAGTGGCTTAAAGAAGCGAAAGCGTATGAAGTCACCCGCTGTGGGCGTAAATGCCCAGAAGAAATCTTCTCTTAAATAGGCTTTCTCCAAGGAGAAGTGCTGGTAGGTTTTCAGACTGGTGCTCACTTCGGCAGGAGGATTGACATGTTCTTTACGAAGAGCTTGTTTCCCAAAATCTTTGTCCTGAACAACCAGAATAAAAGTAAAGCTATTCAAACAATTTCATTGACATAGGCAATCCTTCCCATTACACTTGTATGGAAACTATATCCCTGGGCATGATCCTAAATTGAGGGACTCAAATGTTTCACCCCTAACTGCTTTATATATTTAAGTGTCAATTGACACCATAGCTATCAAGCCTATTCATCATCAAGCCATCAGGATACAAGTCTTGACTTTATATAAGAATCTTCCATCTACTTTGTCCTATTGATTCAACCAACTACTAGAGCACATCATAGGGTCGGGTTTAAGAACAGCTGGTAAAATCACCAGCAATGATAACATCTACCAACCAAAAGATTGCTAGTTCAAAGCTCTGGGTCAGCGTGAGCTGCTGACTATCAAGCCCAGCTTACTGTTGACCTAAGCAGTTCGAGAACAGCTTGTGCTGTAATTAGAGAAATTAGGTACTGCTAAAACAGGGAGCGGGGAGGTATTTTATGAAAAGAAAAAGACCAGAACATGCTGATGACCAAAAAGGAAGGAGAAAGTCCTGATGGTTTGTCATAGAGGATGGAACAACAGCACCCCTCTGTGGCTGGATTTCAAGCACAACTTTCCAAAGGCGCTGAGGTCAACACAACACAACTTGCCTCCTTTCTGTCTGTTTTGTCCTTGTCTGTTCAAACAGCATTGAATGTTTGCCGTGTATGTGTACTGTGATCTGCCCTGAGTCCCCTTGGGGAGATAGGACAGAATATAAATATATTATTATTATTATTATCATCATCATCATCATCATCATCATCATCATCATCATCATCATCATCATCACCACTTCCTGTCAGGTGCTGTGAGAATAAATAAACACCAGTGAAAACATTAGTTCACACTCTTGCGATCTTCTTTCTGGACTACTACATTTAGACCTTGTTCTCTCAACTCATTTATTCATTTCATCACTAAGAAAACACAGGTAGGTCCATAATTAGGTTTGTTAGTGAAATATGCATTTGACTTAACACACAGCTAAGTTGACTGTGTGTTAAGTTAACACAGCTGACTTGAAGATCCCTAACAACTAAAGAGGGAGAAACCTCTGCCAGAACTATGCAGGCAACATAACTTCAGTTTAAGGAGTATGTTGTTTTTATTTTGTTCATGTTTTGCTTTATAGTTAATTAATACAATTGGTCCTCCACATCCACAGATTCTGCATCATGGATTCACCATTCACAACTTGAAAACATTCTCTCTCTCTCCCCCCCCCCCCCCCCCCAATTATTCAAAAATGTAAACCTTGATTGCCACTGTGTACATTGGGATTGTACCACTGTATACAATGGGACAAGTATTCGTGGATTTGGGTATCCACAGAGAGTCCTGGCCAAAACCTGAGTGGATACTAAGGGCCCACTTAATATCTTGAATCCTTTGGAAATACTGAAACAGAAAATGAACTAAAACAAATATTTATTGAGCTGCTGAGGCTGCCCTCCTGCACCACATAAAGGAGAGACAAAAAGGAAAAGAAAGACATCTGCCAGGTTAGCTAAGTGGGGCATGTCTGTCTAAGAGTATGATATTTAGGAACCTGATATAAAGGTCCCTTCAGAAAAAAATATCTGTAACTTCTTTCCACAGTACAGATTTCCACTGTGTTCCAATAACCAAAACATATAATCATATATTCACAAGGCCCCTTGCTATCTGAACAGACCTGGTTTTGCAAGCACACTGATATTCAATGGCATCTAAAATACTGCAATACATAAGTAGTGAAGGCATCCTAGCAAGTATTCATCAGTCTTGATATCATGCTCAAATTCTTCTGGGTCCTAGCCCAGTGCCTCCTTTTTCCTTCCAAACCATTTGTAATTTCTTCTATACTTGGCCAGTGAAGCATCCACTTCTTTTCTATGGAAGAGCACAACAGGTGCCTTTCCCCAGGGAAGGCACCTGCATTTGAGAATACCCGTTTCCCTGCCCTAACTCCAACACACATGCAAAACTTTATTACGCTTTACACACAAATCTCTCTGATGCACTGAGATCAGGTTATGGGTAGATGCAACTTGGGATGCATACCCACAGTTAAGCACTAACTGGCACAAAAAGGAGCATCTAATGAGCTCAAACGTCAAACAGAAGTCAGCATCTATTCCAAGGGAGAGAAACTGCAGAAAACACTGGGGCTTTTGTAGATTGCCAGGACTTTAGGGGCCACAAAACTTGGCTTTGGAGGCTGCAAGTGGCATGAACTTATCTGATCCCTACGCTGTTTCTGTGAGAGGTTCAGAGAGGGAAAGGAGAGGCAAGATTATCAATGGCTGGAGGGTGGGATTTTTGTATCTTCTACTTGTGCAGACTCTGTTTTCTGTCATGTATCATGCTTCCTTCTCCCAAGGCCCTCTGAGCACTACACTTATGAGTTCTAGGGAGAAAGCAAGGATTTACAGCTCACACTTCAGTCCATGCTCTTCCTAATCTTTGCCTCCAAAATGGCTTTTGTCTCTAATCCCTCTTCTCATATCTTCTTCACTCCTTCAAATGTAATACTGCACACACACAAAAATCTTATTTCAGATTGGTTACAGCCCAGAACAGGAATTCTTCTTTTGGGGTAGGAACACAATGGGGAGGAATATACTGATCTTCCTTGGGCAGGGCTATATAATGGACAGGGAGGGAGGTGAGCAGCTGCTCCAGTGAAAAATGAGATATAACTGTGAGCCTAAGGACTAGAGAATTTGTTCTTAAGAGGAATATAAGTAGCACATATATAGTGGCCCTGCCACATCTGTGTGGGTTTGGTTCCTGAATCTGACATGAATACAAAAAATGGATCATGTCTCCATATTATTAAATGGTGGTGATGTAAAAGGGCATCTTTCAGCAATTTAGTAAAATGCAGTTTACTAAAATGCAATTTACTAAAATGGGATGCAATGGCCCACAGTTATTGGAAATAAAGGTTGCTTACCTGTAACCGTATTTCTTCGAGTGTCCATCCGTGAAATTCACACTTATGGGTTATCCTTTCGCGCATGCGCAGCAATCCGGAACTTTCTAGAAATTTTAAATGATTTTTAAATGATTACTTAAGTACAATATAAGCCCCGCCCATCCCCCGCCCCCCCCGGTATATAGGTCCTGGCGTGCGCCTGAGAGGTAGTTCCCAAGCGCCAAATAGTGGCGTAACATACAGAGGCATGACAGAGGGGAGGACGGGCGGGTCGTGTGAATTTCACGGATGGACACTCGAAGAAATACGGTTACAGGTAAGCAACCTTTATTTTTTCTTCGTGTCCTCCGTGAAATGCACACCTATGGGTGAATAGCAAGCTACTGACCTGGAGGTGGGTCATGCCACACAGGAAAACAGTACAGCTCTGCCGGGCTGCATCCTTCTTGGCCAACACATCTAGTTTGTAGTGTGATGCAAACGTGGACGGTGTGGACCACGTTGCTGCTCTACAGATCTGGTCAAGTGGAACTCCACGCAAAAAAGCTTGAGAGGTGGAGAGTGATCTGGTTGAGTGGGCCACCATGCGAGCTGGTGGTTGCTTTCCTGCCAATTGGTAGGCTAGTCGGATCGTAGAAACGATCCAAGAGGCTATGCCCTGGGAAGAGACAGGGTGCCCCATCATGTCTTTCCTGTATTTTAAAAAGAGCCTTGGGGATTTCCTATGAGGGGATGTCCTATGTAAATAGAATGAAATGGCCCTCTTAACATCCAATGAATGGAGGGCCACCTCAAGTGGAGACGATGGATTCGGGAAGAACGCTGGTAGTATGATGTCTTGAGACATGTGGAAGTGAGAGACTACTTTAGTCAAAAAAGTGACATCAGTACGAAGGACAACCTTGTCATTGTGGAACCTCACGTACGGTGGGTCCGATCTGAGGGCCGTGAGTTCACTGGCTCTTCTGGCCGAGGTGATAGCCACCAGGAATGCCGTTTTCCAAGAGAGGTGAGATATGTCATTGGAGGCCATGGGCTCAAAGGGCGGCTTTGATAGCTGGGATAGCACCAGCTCTAGGCTCCATTGTGGGGGAGGGGGGGCGACAGGAGGGTGGATATTTTTGTATCCTTTCAAAAACAATTGAACCAAATGATCTTGAAAAAGGGACGGCAAGCCACATTTTCTTCTAAAGGATGATATAGCAGCTAGGTAGCATTTAACTGAAGAGAAGGAAAAACCTTTATTAGAAAGGTGGACTAGGAAGTCCAGCACTATGGAGATGGGAGCTGTAGTAGGGTTGTGGCCAACTGATTTTGTGAATGTCGTGAATAATGACCACTTATAGGCATAAGACTTTGTGGTAGATGGTTTATGAGCAGCGAGGAGTATGCGTGATACGTCCTCTGATAGATTCATTGTGGTCTGATCCTCCATGCCGTTAAGCGGAGGGAGGGGAGGTCTGGGTGGAGAACGAGCCCGTTCTCCACCGTGAGAAGGTCTGGCAAGGGATCCAGATGGAAGTATTCCCTGTTGGAAATTTGGAGGAGTGTGGCAAACCAGTGTTGGCGTGGCCACCAAGGGGCGATCAGGATGCAATCCGAGTTGTCCTGAATTATTTTGGCTATGACTGGGGATAGGAGAGGGAGGGGTGGAAAAATGTAGATGAGGTTCGGTGTCCATCGGAAGAGGAAGGCGTCTCCGAGACAACCTGGGGATGCGTGAGGGAGGAGTCTTGCGCAGTATGTTGGGCAGTGGGTGTTCATTGGGGACGCGAATAGATCTATTGCGGGCGTCCCCCATTTGTGTGTGATGGTTTGGAATTGGGACATGTGGAGATGCCATTCGTGGTTGTTCTTTGTTGTTCTGCTTAGTGAGTCTGCCAATGTATTGTCTTGGCCTGGTAGGTGGATGGCCGAGAGGAGGATGTTTTTCTGAATGCACCATTCCCAGATGCGAGTTGAGATTGACGTCAGTGTTTGGGATCGAGTTCCCCCTGTTTGTTGATGTAATATTTGACTGCAGTATTGTCCGTTACTATTTGGACTATATGGTTGGAGGTGATGCGGGAGAAGGCTCGAAGGGCCTTCTCCACCGCCATCATTTCTAGTGCATTTATGTGGAAGCGGCGCTCCTGAGGGAGCCAGTGACCGCTGATTTTGAATCCCTTGAGATGTGCTCCCCAGCCTGAGTTGGAGGCGTCCGTTGTCAGGGACATGGACGGATGTGGCTGTATGAATGGCATGCCTAGGCGAACATTGTGTACCTTTGTCCACCATGTGAGGGAGTGTAGCACTACGTGTGGTGGGTGGAGGATTCGGGACTGCGGATCGTGGAGGGGGTCGAAAGTTCTGATGAACCAGTTTTGTAGAGGCCTCATCCGAAGCCGGGCAAAGGGGGTTACGCTGGTAGTAGATGCCATATGGCCAAGTATAGATTGGATGGCCCAGGCCGAGGCCTGTTGTGTTTGGATGAGTGAAAGAATAGCTTGTTGGAGTTTTAAAAAGCGGTCCTCTGGGAGGAAGGCTCTTTGGAGTGTGGAGTCTATGATGGCTCCTATGAATTGAATGCGTTGTGTTGGTTGAAGATGAGATTTTTTGTGGTTCACCACTAGGCCGAGATCCTGTAAAAGAGATAAGGTGTAATGAATATCTGTGCATAATTGAGACTTTGAAGTCGAGGCCAACATCCAGTCATCCAGGTACGGGAAAACTGTTATGCCTTGTTGGTGGAGGTGTGCGGCTATGACCGCCATGCATTTTGTAAACACCCTGGGGGCGGTGGACAAACCAAAAGGTAGAGAATTAAACGAAAAATGGTAATTTTGGACCGTGAAGGTAAGAAACCTTCGGTGGGAGTGTCTAATTGAGATGTGGAAGTATGCATCTCATAGGTCAACTGTTGCTAACCATGCCCCTTCGGGAATGAAGGGAAGAATGTTGGGGAGAGTGACCATGCGAAATCTGCGTGGGGTAATGAAAGTGTTGAGTTTGCGGAGGTCCAAGATGGGCCGGAGTCCACCATCTTTTTTGTCTATGAGAAAGTAATGAGAGTAGAAGCAGGTGTTAGATGTGTGTGAAGGTATGGAGGAGATTGCTCCTTTAATGAGCAAGGAGTGAACCTCGTCCCATATGGTCTGGGAGGGTTGTGTGACGATGACTTTCCCAACAGGTGGGTAGTCATCAAACTCAATTGCATAACCTCTATCAATTATATCAAGGACCCAAGTGTCTGTGGTTATGGATTGCCACTGTGGGAGGAATGAATGTAGTCTATTGAGGTAAGTGAGGTGTTGGGTGGTTGGTGGGGGAGGGAAGGAAATGTTAAAAACGTCTTTTGTTGTTGTTTGGGGGTCTGGTACCACGGTACTGACCTCTTGAGGGAAGTGGAGGGCGTCTCGTAGCCGCAGTGGGCGCATATGGTCGTTGTCGTCCTCTGTAGAATGAGGTGTTGTAAGGTTTGTTGTAAAATTGGGGGCGATAATAGTAGGAGCCCCAGCGCTGTCGTTGGTAAGTGTACGGTTGTTGGTCATATTTGTACACTGTTTGTTTCATCTCATGAGAGTGTTTTAGTTGTGAGTCGGTCTCAGGGTTGAATAGGCCTGCCTCATCCATAGGGAGATCCTCAATGAGAGAACGTTGAGATTGAGAAAGGATCGCATCTCTAAGCCATGCATGACGGCGAAGGGCTACTGATCCTGCAATTAGTTTCCCAGAATTATCAGCAGTGTTTCTTGCTAGGTCTTTTTGCAGTTTGGCTAAGAGAAGGGCCTCTTGTTGGAAAGCCTTAGCCAGTGGTTGCTCAGTTGGTGGTAAGAGTTCTAGGTATGGGGATATCTTGTTCCAGAGGAGAGTCTGGTAAACACTCATGTAAACCCCATAATGGGCCATGCGTGCGAAAAGGCATGCTGAGGAATAGAATTTTTTGGCCATAGAGTCTAGCTTCCTCCCTTCTTTGTCAGAGGGGGATGCTTGGTTTCTTTGGATAGGTCTTGGTTGAGCATCGGTCACCACAGAGTTTGCCTTAGGCATCTTAGAGAGCCATGAGGCTGTGGAAAGATCAATACGGTATAAGTTTTCTGCTCTTTTAGGGGTTGCTGGAACCAAGGCTGGGGCAACTCCTGTATTTTTTAGAATTTTCAAGAGAAATGGAAGTGTGGGCAACACAGTAGATGTAGGTGTTTGTTGTTCAGTGGATGTAAAGCATGGATCTGACACAGTATCTGAAGGTTCAGGAGTGGCAAAGTTTAGGGCTTTGGCAAGCCTTATTAACAGAGCTGAGAATTTTTTAAAATCTTCTAAATGCTGAGGGGAAGGGTCAGGGTCTGGTTGGGGATCTTAAATGACTGGTGTGTCATCCGTGGACTCCAAATCGATTGTATCTGCTTCTATTTGGGGGGGCATGGTAGGTTCCAAAGTAAAGCCCTGGGGATCCATCTCCCCTTGGGGATCTGGGGGATGAGAGAGTGTAGCGGAAGGAGGTTCACGCGGGGGTTGGGGAAAGTTAGGATCAGGATAATGAGGTGGATGGGTTCCCCTGAATGAATCGGGGG